ACATAACTTTAACAGTAAGTGAGGTTAAGTCTATTGCTTTCATATAATCATAAATGTTTATAAATTACAGTTACATTGCGATAAAACTCTTTTTCCACATTACAACACACATGCGTGCTGTTATTTATGTATATACAAACAACTCAGTTTCTGCGGTTTTTTTAAATTTTTTATTTTATTAATTTTCAAGTATTTATTTAATTTTTTTCTTCCTCTTCGGCTGCCTGTTGTCCACTTATAAATTAATAATATTCATTTTTTTCGTAAATTTACAATCGAGTGTAGCTGGCGCAGTTGCCGAGCAGTAGACGAAGTCACTGGAGCGCCGCTCGTGTGCTACTAAAGCTAATACTATGTAGTGCCTTAGCGGTAATTTTTCTTACGACTTAAACAAGATTTCCTTTCAAACCAATTATAAGATTTTCTTTCAATTTCTTACTTATACATACACATACATATGTGTATGTATGTATGCATATGTTAGCTATGTATAGTGTATGTGACAATATAAAATGGAGAGCGTGCAAGGAGCTAAAAAACAACATTGAGCGTTCACGAGTACAACTATTCAAGTGAAATAATGGCAGCAACGACTTAAATTTATAAAAAAATATTTATGCTTATGACTTATTTAATTAAATAATATTTCGCATGAGTTTGCGGGGATCAAGCAAAACAAATATAAATACAGTCTACCGTTTGGTGAAGCTTTGAGTTTCTTACCAAATATCAAAACACACAAGAAAAAAACATATGTTTTTACCACTCAACCGTTATATACCGTTAAATTCTAACATCCATTTTGATTTGTTGAACTTCCACCCGCTGCCGCCGCTCCTCTATTCTTCCTCGTATGCTTCGTTGCCGCCATTGCCTGCCTGTTTTTGTTGCAGTAATTCCTGTGTCTTCTTGGCCTTTCGCCGTTTGCGCATTTCGAAGAATTTGCGCTGATCTTCCGGTGAGAGGCGTGACAGACGCTCTGCATATTTGCGCTTCTTCTCTTCCTTCTCTTGGCGCAGGCGTTCGTCATCTTGCTTTTTCAATGCATCGAGACGCTCTTGGCGCTTACGTTTCTCCTCCTCGGCTGCTCTTTGTTCGGCTTCGGCACGCGCCTTGACCGCTTCTTCCTCCTGCTTGATTTGCGCTTCGTGTTCCGCTTTGCGCCGTTGTTCCGCCTCTTCGAGCTCCTTCCTTATACGCTCCTCTTCTTCTTCGATTTTACGTTGCTCCTCTTCGCGGCGTGCGATCTCCTCCTGTCGCTGGCGTAGCTTCTCTTCGCGTCGTCGATTTTCTTCCGCTAGTCGTTCTAGTTCCTGTCGCTCCAACTTGCGTGTTTCTTCCAGCTGTTCCAATTTCAAGCGTTCTTCTTCTTCCTCCAATTGTCGTTTAATCTCTTCTTGCCGCCGCTTTTCTTCTTCCTCCAGGCGTTGTCGGTTGGCTTCGTCCTCTTGCCGCTTCCGTTCCTGCTGTTCGTGTAGTTCACGTTCGCGTTCATCGCGCGCTTGCTTCAAACGTTCTTCGTATTCTTCGAGTTGTCGCCGCTCCGTCTCCAGTCGTTCTTGTTCACGTTTCGCTTCTTCTTTGGCGCGTTCTTCCTGCTCTTTTTTCATTTGTTCCTCACGTTCTTTGCGCTCCTTCTCTTCACGTTCTCTCTGCCGTTCGATACGTTCCTGTCGTATGCGTTCTGCGCTGCTATATTCATCGTCGCGCTTCTTCTTCTCTTCGGCAAGTTGCTTCTTCAGCGCTTCCAATTCTTGATGCCGACTTTCATATTCGCGTCGTTTGGCTTCCGCTTCGGCCAGTTGTTGCTGGCGTTGTCGTTCCAGATCGATGGCTTCGCGCTGTCGCAGTTCATCCAGTTCACGTCGCGGCTGTTCGGTTTGTTCGTATGATTTCGGTTGTTGGTCTTGTTGTTCCTGTTCTTGCAGGTGCCGCTGTCGTTCACGCTCTTGATTTGCCAGTATGCGTAGTCGCTGTTCGTTCCATTTGCGTTCCTTCTCCTTCTGCATTTGTTGTGCGCGCTGTCTCTTGCGCTCCAAACGACGCTTCTCCTTCTGCCGTTGTCGCCATACGACACGATCATGCGGCATTTGCTTTTGTCCGTTTCGCGCCCGATTGGCTGCGTTGGGCGTATTGGGCGCTGCTGTAGCCGGCACCGGTATTTCGTTGTAATGTGCCAAAGTTGTTGGCGAGTTCGAGGTCGCTTGTGCATCGATATCGTTCGGATGGATTGTGGTCGGTCGGTTTGGACGACGTCCTGCGCGTCCACGATTGTGTCCGGCTCGGCCGCGTGGTTTCGGTAACACGATCTGTTCGTCGCTGCCGTCGGCCTTTACGATGACATTGGATCTGGAAATTGAAAGTAGCGGATTTGTGAATGTTATTTTGTTTACAAGGTTTTATGTAGCTTAGGTCTATGTTTTTACGTTTAAAACTAATCTATATCTGCATTTTTGTTTTTGCAGGTGGAGTCTGTGGGTTTGGCCTTAAATATTTTGGATGAGTATAACCTTCGTGGTCACAAAATACGCGTGCAACGTGCCAAATTTCAGATGCGTGGCGAATATAATCCAGCTTTGAAACCGAAACGCAAGAAGAAGGACAAAGAGAAGTTGCAGAAAATTAAAGAAAAGTAAGTGTGTGTAACGAGGGTCACTGCTTGCACGCTTCTAAATCAAAATCTTTCAACACCTATATAGTAAGCCCCCCCATATTCCTAAAGCTTAATTTTTACCCCAACACCTATAATGGTAGCTCTTACTATTTGACAAAATTTAAGTTTATTTTTTGATTTTCGAAAACTATTCGAATTTAAATTTCGAATTCGAAATTTCGAAGTAATATTTTAATTTTTGATTTCCCTAGACTTTTCGACTGGCGTCCGGAAAAAATGCGCGGTGAACGCTCGAAAAATGAGAAGGTGGTTATCATTAAAAATCTCTTCGATCCAATTATTTTCGAAAAGGAAGTGCAGCTGATATTGGACTATCAGAATGAGTTGCGTGAGGAGTGCAGTAAATGTGGCACCGTACGAAAAGTGGTCATTTATGATGTGAGTTTCAAAGGGTTTACTTTTTAATCAAAATTTATATTTTTAAATTAAATTATTAATTTAATTATTCAACTTGCAATTAATTAAATTTATTATTATTGCTAAACATTTCTTCTTACTTCCATCTACAGCGTCACCCCGAAGGCATCGCACAAGTGAATATGGCCGACCCCGAGGAAGCTGATGTGGTAATACAAATGATGCACGGCCGTTTCTTCGGACAACGTAAGCTGAGCGCGGAACATTGGGATGGCAAGACCAAATACAAGCAAGTTTTTGCTAACTACCAGCATTTAGTTGCGATTTTTAAGTTATTTCTCTTAACCAACAGAATCGTCGAAACCGAGGCGGAGGTGCAGAAACGGCTAAGTCATTGGGATCAGTATCTAACAAATGAGGAAAATGAGGAGCGGGATGCCATCCAAAAGGCACTGAATGAGCCGATGACGACGCCTTCAAACGCTGGGGAAACGCCAGTACAACAGAATGAATTAGAAAGTGATGCTGCAGACACACCAAAAGTGTGTTAAACTTTATGGAAATAACTTACTTTGCAGGGAGCGTGTACTCGCTGAGGTCAAATGCTTAAAAGAGCTAGCAATTGTATTCATTGTAATGTCAAATGTGTGGCTTTGCAATGTTTGAAATAAAATACCCTATTACGATCTAAGTCATGTTGATAGTGTTTTTTTGTTTTTTGGTATGGAAGAAAGTAATGGAATGAACTCAAATGCTCCAATGAAACTTGCTTGGGTCTAGCAACTTCTATTTGAAGCCAAAATTTTATTATTTCGACTTTATTTTTGCCCCAGATTCTCCAAAACAGCTTTTCCAATGTCCGTTTGTCTATCTATTCGTTTGGTTCTTGGTCTAACCTCTAGTTTTGATATATCCATCTCAAATTTTAGATACGTTCTTTTTTCCTCAAGAAGCTGCTTACTTGTCGGAATCGTCGTTATCAGACCACTATCGCATATAGCTGCCATACAAACTAAACCATAAAAATCCAGTTTTTATAAAGAAAACTTTTTTATTTGATATATATCTTCAGGAAATTTGCCACCGCTTATTTTCCAAGAATTGTTAAGATCGGACTAGTATAGAATATAGCTACCATACAAACTGATGAACCAAAATCAAGAAAAATTTCTTTTCCACCCTTTTATACTATAAGAAATGTTTATTTACAACAACAAATGTTCATACAGATAAGTTTCAATGCTCAACACACTTACCTGCGTCCATTTTTGCCCGGCTGATCCATCACTTCCAATATGACTTCGTTCGCATACTCATTGGGGTAGGTGGCATTCCAACGCGTATAGACCTTGCCTCGATTCTTCTCGCTGACTTTCGGCATTTTATGTTGACAGATGAAACGGAATCTATCCGGACAGGGGCGAGCAGACCATCTGTTTGTTGAATGTAAAAAATAAAGATTAATTTTAAAAACGCATATAAATAAAGTATTTATAAATAAAAAAGTAACCAGCTAATTAGCAGCGTCGATGTGCATGCATGTATGTGTATATATGCAATGTGCCGCATGCATTTTGAGAAGCGCTGCCAAAATTTCGTATGCCTTTCACGTTGCAAGTTGGCGCTGAGTGATTTCTATTTCATTTCACCAATATGTTTGTGTTTGTATATGTATATGTATGTATTAATGTTTTTAGGCGTGCATATGTGTATATAACGTTTGTTTAGACTCTTGTCTGGCGCTACACATCATTAACACGTCAATTGACCGCGATACGTTTTGAGCTGATGTGCATTCGGACAACTTGATTAGCTGCTTCACACTTTATTCGCCTGCATTTTAAGTATGCTATTGTTGCATTCATTTATGGGAGTGTGCTGCCACAATGACATTGTATTTGCAATTAAAATTGTGTCTCTAAATACCTTTCACGATCGCTGAATTGTAGTTTATTTGTCAAATAAATCAAACGGTAGTCAAGTATATACTGTGAGTGTTTGATGTTACATATATACTTATAGAGCTAAAACTAGACAAAAATCATTTTGGGTCAACAAGTTGAGCTTCAGATCGACGTAATTCGAATGGGACCAGATTTTTATGCCGCCAAAAACTGGTGCTAACATAAATTCCAGCTATAATCTAAGCCTGGAAATCAAGAGCAGCATAGCTCTTGTCATCAGGTGTTAATTTGGGATCAGTATTCAATTGAGAAGTAGATTTTTCTCCATCGAAGAAAAATTATTCTCTATAAGTCTCTTATCATTGCTGCCATATTATGCGGTGCAGAAGCATAGACGATGACAAACCGATTGGTTGATAAGAAAGCACTTGGAGCATTCGATGGAGCAGTAGTTAGGTTAGTTTATTGGGCAAATCGCTGAGCTAGCCTATAATGTATCAGCGGACAACTCCGTAGCTCACATCCACGTGGACAGCCGAGTAGCAATCAAAGCTTTAACATCATTTCGCATATCGTGCTTTGGAAAGTAGTGGCAAGTGTCGGCAAAATCAAGAGCTTCACGTCTACTTTGGTGTCATTTAACAAGGTTTCGAGATCAATAAGGTAGTGAATGAGATTACCAAGAGTGGAATACGGCTGTCAACCGAAAACGTAATCAACCTTTAAGAACCCTTGTATTTTCTATACAACTATCTGGACATGAGTATAGCAAAGAAAAACGAAACGCGATGGAAATATCTGTCTGAGTGCAACAGTGTAAAAGTTATGTGCAAAACGTTAGATCGGAAAGAAACAAAGTTCTTACTGGCACTCGATAGAAGGAATTGTACGGATTGCTGGCGGCACATGCTTGCCGAAGGAGGCTGACAGATCGATAAGATTGCAGCAAGTTTGGGTGTCCAGTGGTGTCAGACAGTAGGAAGACTGATGTTGTTGTTGTAGCGGCAGAATTCTGCCGAGTTGACAGTCCTTGAACGGATTAAAATCCGGTTGCGTTACGGTTACGTAGACCCGATGGTCGTGGGAACGGACTGGAAGAAAGATCTTTTAAGACGCGCCAGAGTCGGTTGAAATTCACGTTACGGAACTCTATCTGTTATCACAAAGAATCAAAACTGGCCCCTGTGCGGCTTATTAGTCTGTCAGACTAACCTAATCTAGGTTAGTTTAGCTACCTAGGGATGCACCCAGAGCACTTTGAGCCTAATAAAACTTTGTTGAGTTTTAGCTGATTTCCCCTGTGGAACCAAGGTATTACATCGGTGGTGCTTAGTCAAACGAAAGTTGGACAGTCGGTATTCCAGTCTTGCTGGGTTTCGCCTTCTACTCGGTACAAAAACGATTCCCAACCAGTTCTCACACTGAGAACTTTAGTTAGTTGATAAAGTTTAGTTACATTTTTCAGAGCACTGCTGATACAAATTTTTTTGGTGATTAAAATTAAAGAGCTCACTCAATATTTAAGTTTACTTATTAAAATACTTTCGATTACACATCGGCTAGTCTCGTATCAACGCACTCATCCGGTTAGTACTAAGAGTTAAGCTTAAGTTTTTTAAGGCATTAGCATATGTATGTACAAATATGAAATGTATATGGCAAAAATATTTTTTAGGTTATCATCTTAACAAAAAAAGCATTAACGCTCACCTATAGTCTAGATTTGGGTCATACACAGCACAATGGTTTTCCAGGTTCTGTCTGATCCTGCAAAACAGGCGCTCATTAATAAAATCTCGAATATTTGTTTAAAGAAATTCAAATTTTACTTAAGAAGAAGAATTAGAAAAAAATAAAAAATAAATAAATAGTTGAAAAACTTTATTACTCAGGTTCCATGCGACTGAAGGAGTCATATGTTAAGTTCTTGCCGCTAATGCTCCACTGCCACACATTGCTTTGCCAGTCGTAAGTGGCGCCAATCCAAATAGGACCAGTTACTGCAAAAAAAAAAAAAATTAATTCAAATAATTTCCTTCAAGCGACCGCAAGCAATGCCACTTACATCCCCTCTGTGCGTCGTATTGTTTGAGGAAAACGCGCAATTTCCGATCGGCTCTATTCTGTGGTTCCGCCAATTTCGCGTTCTTGTCTTTGCAGAAGAAATGTGCCTCCAGCCAGCTGCTGGCCTGTGGCAGCAACGAGTAACATTCGGAGCCGACACGTTGGAAGTGTGGCGGACACATGGCGTACATGCGCCGATTACGCAATGTCTTCGATGCGACATTTTGTGTGTTGAACACTTGTGACATTCGCTGGTCCAGATAGTTTTCATTCATGAAGGACACACCCGCTGAGGCGGCTGACACATGATATGCATTAATGGAGGGTGCCACTGCGAGCAGAAGAAGGAAACGATTATTAAAGTTTGGTAATATTAAATAAAATAATATGAATTGTTACAACTAAGAACATATAAGGTTGGGTGGAATCGTATATTAAATACTCTCCCAGATTGTAGGAAAATAGAGTGTATTTTAGTTTCACACTCTAATATATTTGGATTCAATGGAAGGTGTCTACTATTTTTGCGCAATTTTTGTACCAAATCCTAAAATTTCAATCGCAGTATAATAGCTTAATTATACCCAAATATGTAATCCACATATTCACCGAAAAATTAACTATAAAGAAAACTGAAAAGACGGTAATCATATCATTTAGCATATAAAGGCTAGGTGAAGACTTAACCARTAAACAGTTTAATTTATATATGTTTAATTTATATATATATACACTAATTTATACTCCATTATATTAAGCTTATACCCCATCTAATCATTTTCAAATTTTATCCGGAGATCATTATGCTAATTTTATGAACTCATAGTAAAATGTTTGAACTTATGTATTATTCAAACTTTTTCCAGCTTCCAAATCAATTCGTTAGGTCGTTATCGATTTTTTTTTGGTTTCAATTCACCTATTTCGAAAAACAACCTCCTCAAAATATCCATCAGCAATCTGTCTACTAATTGTATAGTATATTTTTCTCTCTTCTCTTCTTTGACTCTACCTGTACAACCGAGGGTCGGTCTGAATCGAGAACACAAAGCTTCGCCAGTTGCATAATGTTATATTTTTATAGAAAGAACTCATCTTGCTACTTTTTTCGTGGAAATGTTGATCGGGCCCGATAGATGACTACTCTGATATGTCTGATTTTTACGTTGAGTGGAATTATTCACCAAAGAGTTTTTATCTTACTGGCAACCGGAAAGATCAGTTAAAACAATTTTGAAAGATCATTTGGTTCTAAGAAAAGTAAAAGCGCGATTCGTTCCAAGAATGTAAAAAATGTTCGAAAAACTTTGCGATGTTAGGATGTCATGAAACGTATTATTACTGGCGATAAGTCGTGAATTTATGTTTACGACCTGGAAACAGACAATCAATCGGACGAATGTCATGGCAAAGGTGAGCCGAAGCCGAAAAACCTACGTCAAAGCAAGTCAAAATTCAAGCTTATGATGACACTTTTCTTAGATTATCGAGGTGTGGTGCTCTCCGAATTCCTTCCGACTGTTAACAAGGAATACTATTTGAATGTTATGCGTCGTTTGCGCGAAGCTATTCCTAAAATCTGGAATTATAAGCCGACAACTCCTGCATCGATTCTTCGTGAGTTTTTCGCCAGTTTTTCCAGCAAACTCAAACGACCGCTCCGGGAAAACCGTTTTTGAGTTAATTGAAGACATTAAACCTTATCTCTATTTATCTCTTAAACCTAT